TGGTGAAAACGCGATAGTACGATGATGAAAACACGACAGTACGATGATGAAAACGCGAAATCACGAAACTACGATGGTGAAAACGCGACAGTACGATGGTGAAAACACGATAGTTTATCGCGCTTTCATTATCGTAGTATCGTACTGTCGCGTTTTCATCATCGTACTTTCGCGTTTTCATCATCGTGCTTTCGCGTTTTCACCATCGTATTTTCGTGATTTCGCGTTTTCACCATCGTACTATCGACTATCGCGTTTCAGATCAACACATTCATAGGCAATGGCCCTAACGGCATTCCGTAAAAGTGCGAAGACGTAGGTGGAGAATATTTTATTTATTTTTTTAAATGTTGAATGTTTTTTCGAGAACGAGTCAAAAGTCCGGATATTTTCTGACTTCCCCTCGCGTATAATAGGCAGTCCAAATATTGAAGCTTGACAAGTCCATTAAAATCAGTTAAGGTATAATATAACTATCTTCCTCAAATAATAGTGTTCTCTCTAATTAAACAAAATGTAACTTGCCGATGTAATTTGTCAAAAATACCTTCAATTTATATGCTTGTAAATTTTAAAAGCGCATTTAAGATGTTTTGATTATGTTTAAATGTTGGCATGTATTAAATACCATCGTGGTTTATTAAAGTTGATAATATTAATTATTAACAATAGAATACGATTATGAAAGCGCCTGTATATTTCAAGAGAGTCTCATTTCTTTATTAAAAAATACAAAAAACACGCATATGTTAGCAAACTTGGCATATATACGTCTTTATTTCTAAAACGATGATCTATCAATATCAATCATAAATGTTGTAAAACCAATTTCAAATATGTCACGTATTCAAATCAAAATATGCCATATTGTGCCCTCAATCGAAATATGTTCATATTTCGATATATATATAAAAAAAATAGCTTCATGCTTCAATTAACACATGTATGTGTTACCCTATTGGAATCCCTTTTAAAAAAGCGTTATTTTGTTGTGTTTTTCTTCTTCTTGATAATCACTGTATTAATTTTGTGCCAAGTCAGTATGTTGAAAAAATAAACATGCACATGAATTTATAACAGAAACTACTAATATGTATTTCCAATGAAATTTGTAAGGAAAATGTGTATCATTTAATCGAAATTCCCAGCCAGATTGATTGTGTACTGTCTACCTCCAGAGAAGGCCTTTTATCCGTATAGATCACAATAGATTTGTAAAGACACAATATATTGGCTGTCAAAATTCGTCTATTTGTTTGATGACAGCGTATGTTCCGATACACTGCTTTAATCAAAATATTTCTAAATTGAATACCAAAGTACGATGGAGCGTATTAACTTTAATTTACAGAGTCGCTCATATCTGAAACGTGATTTGTGTTCTTTGATTTCTCTCTGACAGTTACTGATTGAACTAATGTTGTGGAACATGTCCTCTTCATTTATGGCTTAATTAGACGGCTTTTCGTGTCTTTAAATGAAGAGTGGCGGAAGAAATATGAGTTTGAGTAGCAATGTCAAAGTGAACAAATATAGACAGATTGTTGCGGTTTTTCGTTTTAGAGTTTTCGTCGGCGAATCCACAACAGACTGCTGGTGCTTGAATTATTAGAACAAACAGACTTTCTTAAAATGATAAATGTGGTAGTTAATGCAATCGATATGCATATTAAGCTATTATACTTTTTATATCACACAGTATGTTTTATTATTTTTTATACGAATGATATGAAAATAAGAATAATTGTACAATTTTAAATTTTCTGCTAAAGTTGTGCTCGTATAAGTGTGAAAGGGAGGTAAATGTTATTAAAGTATTTAGTTCATAAATGTAAATCTCTACGATGTTAAAGTGTTGGATGTTAAACTAACTAGTTACGGAGTAAAGTGTTTCCAAATGTATCATTTATAATATTTAATAAGTTGTATAATATTCATATATCCAAAGCATATTTTTTTATATTCATTAATTAAACACTTAAACTGCTACCTTTCTTGAATGAACTTCATTGCTTCAATTTTTGGAATTATTCATTATCATTTTTGGGGATATCAATTTGAAAATTTTTATCAAGTCAGTGAACGGTTTAGAGCCTGGTCAGACTGCAAGGGTGTGTAGGCTAGCATGACTATATACTGATGGCAAAGACACCTTAAGTGGGTTTATTTTGTTGTTGTTTTTTCGTCGTCGTTGTTGTTGTTGTTTGGGCGGTGTAACTTTTATTTTTTTACTTCTTTTTATTAATAGATCATAAAAGAAAATAATTCGTTCTTTAAATATTTTTAAAGTCGATGACATAATCATCTTAATACAGTATATCAATGAAACACCATGAATTATACACAATAATTAGCACAGACATTATACTAGTAACTTTCTTGATTTATTTTATTGTGATCATTGGTGAAGTGAGTTTAAATAAAAAGAATGGTATACTAACTGCTATCAAATAATTTATATTATATTTTAAATGCCTTTAAGCCTTTATCTTTCCAGGATTGAAGATTTACCACAAACAAGATGCTTTCCCTTATCTCTAGTATATATTCTATTTTTTCTCCAAATGATAAACACGGGTCCACAATAATGCGAATTATGATTCATTTTATATGCAAATTGGTAAACGGAATCAAACAAAATAAAACAATTAATCAATAAAGAACAAACGCTTAAAACAAAAAATTAGAAATAACTCACGGCTATATGAATTATTAAGATTTCTTAAGTTTAACCGAGCGTATGCATGAACATTTGAAAAATGAGAAACTAGCCACCCTGAAGAAAACCTCGCCTTTAATCAGAGGTATCCACTATGTTAGGGTCAAATTGTTTAATTAAGAAAACTAATGTGTTTCTTAGACGAGCTTTTGCACATATGCCGGGGACAATAAGGGTCAGACCTGTAAATCTTTTCCCGACACTTAAAGCGTGACGGGGGCATTGTTCTAGCGCGTAAAGCACGTGTATCAAATAATGAAAACTTTGATCGACAAGCGCTCAAGCCTAAAACATGTTTTTGGACCATCTGTTCATTTAGAGCTCAACACGACCATGAGACCACGAATTGAAGTTTTTGCCTTATTGAGAAATAATGGGACAGTAATTATGCTAAAACACACAACTAAAATACATTTTATTTTGATAACAATATGCTCATCGGCATTTTTGCTTGCTTGAGTGCAGTGTTTCTTTACTTCAAACACTAATTAGTGTTAAATATGACATTACGTCAGATATTATACTGTCAATTTAAGGTAATTATTCTTTAATAAATGGGAAAATATGTTCTGATAGAAGCTACATATTCCTTGGTTATTTGCATGGAAATATATGAAAAAATTCATGAAGATTAAATTATGTTTTTATCATTGAAATCTATATCTATGAATTTATTTATTTTATTGTATTTTAAAAATGCAAATGCGATGAAATAAGTATCATTTTATTTGAGAATGCCTCAGGAATAAAAGAACGAGTGGTCGCATTTTGTTTATATTGTTGTATACTTTTGGACATTTTGCATACTTTGCACAATCGTGTTTACTTTTGCACTATTTTGTATACTTTTGCACACTTTGTATGTTGTTGAAAGAAGTGTAAATATACACGCGAATATATTAGTCGTTAATACATCTTAAAATCATTAAAAATTAGAAACACATCTGTCTGTATGGTAATTCATATATTGTTTACCATTTAAATGAAATAAAATGAACAGCTTTTATGTTAAGAATTTTAGTTTTTATTTCTCTCCTACTACACACTCATATAATGAAAATAGTCTGACAAAAAGGAAAATATTCAGAAAGAAAACAAATTGAAAATGCACACTTGTCAAATAAGTAAATATCATTCACTACAGCTGCGCATTTCTATTATAGCAAATCATGTAACAAAAAATATATTAAAACCATAGTAACAATATTCCAATAGCAATTAATCAATGCTACATGTAATTTAGGTATTTCAATTAATAATTCTGTATCTTTACCGTATTTATCTTTACAAATGTTCTATCTTAACCGTGTTTATCTTTACTTTTCTTTTTTCTCTAAGTGTTTCAATTAACGTTTCTGAATCTTTACTGTATTTATCTTTACAAATGTTTCAATTGACAATTTCGTACCGTTACCATTTTATCTTTACAATTGTTTTAATACACAAATCTGTATGTTAACCATTCAATCTTTACAAATGTCTTTACAAATGTTTCAAGTAAAAATTCGATATTGTAACTGTGTTAAATTGATACTGTAAACAATTATGAGTATATCAATGTTATGTCGCAAATAAAAAATTGGACCTACAATGTTAAAATATTACTAGAAAAATACGGTTTAGCAGATGTACTTTGACACAGAGGTTGAAATTTGCTTTAAACAAACATGGCAAGCAGATAAACAACAATAATGTTTTAAACATTCTTTATATTCGTCTTAAAACTATCAAATCTAAATTTTAAAGGAGTAGTTCATGTGTATTTCACGTTTAAGAATTTCTTCACAAAATCATAGAATTTAAACAGGTCGATATTGTAGGAATTGAATAGAAAGACGGTAAAGATTAGTCCAATTATGTCAATGCTCTGAGATCGAAGATGAATATCATTTTATTCTTAAATGCAATGCTTAACAAAGTTTAAGAAGTCGATTGAATCAAACGTCATTTTTATATGTACAAATACATAGATACGTATGCCTAAGTCAAACAACAGATTAGTTCAAAATAATCTTAGCAAATTGATCTATTTAGCCGATAAAAAAGAAATGATATATTGAATTTATATCCTAGACTATAGACACTTTATTAATGAAATAGTAACTTCTATTCAATATCTTATTTTATACATGATATCAGAGCTGATTCTCTAGATTGTATCAATTTAAACATTTATTATTGTGTTATATTTGATATCAATCGTGAAAAAATATTTTCTATGAATTTAAATAGTTTCTATATATAAGTAGATACATGTAAAAGTATATTAAGTTAAATAAAATGGTCTTCTTCTTATTCTTTTTCTTTTTCTTTAATACAAACATAGAGGAATTTAAGGTAGCAAGATTTTTAAATGTTACTAAACTATTCCGTGTTAAGAGCTGGCTACTTTACAAACATCACAAATGACATTTTAAACACAATGAAACGCAAGTATTTCTTTACAAGTTTTATCAAAATTTGGCACAAAGTGAAATGTCATAATTATAGCTAGGTATGTGACGTCATATGACGTGTTAGATGATGACGTTCTTTAAAAGTTTCTTTGCAAACATTACATTGTAATTTGTCTTCCCTCTTTTTCTTTATTGGATCAAACTCTCGTTTATGGTGAGATCTCATATGATAAACGAGATCACTAGTCATCCTAAAAGTAGCATTACATTTTGCACACCAGTTTTGTGCCAGGGACAAAGGTTGTATTGGTCGCTGATTCATTGTAGGAGTTGCCGTCTGAAGAATTTTCTCTACCATTGGGTTGGCAGTTTGCATGAAAGGTAAGTGTGATTTTCTTAATTGTTCCATTAACATTTGTTTGCTAAACATATCTCCATTATGTAAGTCTCTGAGAGTCTCTCTATTCACGCTATTTATAGGTGTGACCATTTGTGGTTTATTAGCAACCGACACCTGTATCCGTTCTGAATACACACGTGGATCTAAATAAGACTGTGCTACTGATGAAACTGGTGCCATCCAGCCAGGACTCAACATTCCAATCCCAACAGGCAATCTGTTGGCCATTGAATGTGGTGGTATCATGCCTTTATTGTATAAATGCCTTGCAATCATTTCGTGTTCCTTCTGTAAGGTTATTTTCGTCTCATTTATTGTAAAAGGTTTATTCAAAAGCGACATTTCCTCATTAGGCGAACCATTTTCTCTAACAAAAGATTTTTCAACTTTCCGAAAAGCGCTGCCAATGTCTCTTGAGGAACTTTGTCTAATTGCACTACCTGATCCTGGAGAAGTATTTCTATCATTACTTGTTCCGGGCATTTGCTCATTGTTGTTTTCTTCCCTAGGTTCTACACATAGTTTCTTTCTTTGTGAGCTCACAAAGTCAGTTTCTAAACTTCTTTTTAATCCCTTGTGGTCGTCATGATTTGAATTTATTTCCATCTCAGATCCTGCTACAGACTTATTCCGGCTTATTGTTGGTGATAGCGAGGTGTTAGACTGACTTCCGGTGACCTTTGTGCACCGGAAACGTAAATGCGCCATAAGAGGAAATTTGTATCGGAACTTCTCATCACACTTGTCGCAGACGAGTTTTGTGTCATTTTCTGTAGAAAGAGGACAAAATATCATATAAATTAAACATTTTTTATTTGTTGCGAGAAATTTAAAAACAGCAACAACAGTTTGTTAAGTGATTGCGCGGGTGATTTCGCAACATATTATCATTATTTAGAGGTTGTCGATTTCTAGGAAATTTAAATCTGCCACTTTTCTATCTTATTTAATGATACATGTATTATGAATATGAGGAAAACAAGTTTTCTTATTTATCTTGTTAAAACATAATTTGTTTGTCATGTATTTTGAATAATATTAAAGATTTTTACAAATTGTTTTTTTATTTATGTTTATACATGTACCTTTTTTTAATGTCATAAAATGATATACCAAGTTAATAATTTTATAGATATTTATGTTGAATCTATACGTAATGTTTTATAAGGAACATGATAATAAAAATACAAACCCTCTCTTTGCACGATATGCGACAATGGAATATCTAGAATCTGGGCAAAGTCTTTGCTGTACCAAACCAAGAGCTCCTCTCCTGCTCGAATGATTCGGAGAGTTCTGAAATTATAACATTTTTAATGAAGGGTTTCAAAAGAGCAACAATACGTATTTGTATGTTTTAAAAAGCAAGAAAATGTGATTGCAAATGGTTTAAATTAGTTGACATTAGTTCATTACTAAATTATTGTATTTAATTCATGTTATTGTTTTAAACTAGATTTAACGCTTTTGGTTTATATAGGTATGTCTTCGTGAATAACACAAACATAGGGGAAGGTTAATTATTACATAGCTTAAACAAGTGATAAAATTACATATTGCTTATATAACATCAAATTAAAAAGCGTCAACAAGAAATATAATGTTGCAGTATTATTTTGTATGCTGAAATATTATATTATTATTATCATACACATCGAAGTAAATGTAACAATCTTTCAATGTTTATTTCTTAAAAAAGTGTATCTTTGTTAGAAACATTTCTTTTTAGGTGATTCCAATACGATATATTTCTAGTAGATCTTAGACAAAACTTTGATCAAATAAAGAATCATTTGATTTATGATAAATTATTATCGCTGGTATTACCTATAAAATATATTCCCGTCCTTCATATAGGCTTCCATATTCTGTTCATCAACTGTCCGTGCAGGGTGTACGTACGGCAGCCATGTATTCCCTAACACAGAATCATTTAAATTTATCTGAAATGCATGAAATATGTATATAATACACATGTATTTTGAATTTGTCTTTCACTTGACTTTATTCACTAAAACAACAAAATGAAAATGTACGAAACAATGATAATACACTCCTAGTTATATTCAATAAATATGTTTCTTTACCAAAAATAATAGTTCCTGGTATTTATAATAAGCCAATTTAAACTGTCTTTTCTCTTTCAAGCAAAAAATACTTGTACGTTACATTATGGCTTAAGACTAAGCTGCCTTACCATTATTAAATATATGATATTATTTCAATATTAAACTAGAAACTAGATTGATTTTTTCATGATGAATGTGATATTGTTATATGTGTCAGTTTAGATTCACTGTATGTACAAAAACAGAATAAAAAAGATACTCTTGCAATAATGTTGAATATATGCATTATATTTACATAAGTAAATAATCACTTTTTTAATACTTAAGATCTGAGTGATTGTTTTGGATGTTATATTATTTACTTTTTACGATTTTTCAACTCTATTGAAATGAAATAATGTATTTGGGAAATGAAATTATTGAACTTCTTATCTAAATGGTGTATTTAATCAATTTTCATTGCTTTGTATAAGATCTAAAGCAAAAATATTAATTCTTAATTTAAGCATAAGAAACGAATAAGATATTAAATACCTTTACACTTCCAGTATCATGCCTGTCGTCGGCTGTCAGGTATCCTATAAAATGAGATATTGGTATATGTCCGACGGCGGGGAACGGGCCGTAAATTCGACCATAATCTACGTCTGTCTCGGCAATCACCCCCATCTCATCCTGAAGTAAACAGGAAAAAAAAACACTTTTCATATGCACACTCAATACGTATTTCAAAAATATTAATACTATTTAGAACATATTACATTTTTTATCATATTTTTTGTATTCATTTGTTAATCAACTGAATAAAATGAAAGTTATTTTTTAAGTAATTCTTTTTTATGATGAGCTCGCGGAATTCGTAACAGAACAAGCTCTTGTAACATAAAAAGCAAGGCTACCAATTAAGCATGCATTGGTTAAAATCAGCAAAAGGACCGACCGCAGACACTCAAAACGGATCGCTTCCGCTTGCTTTGATATTAAAACACCAGTCCACTTAAAGTTGAATAGGGATAAGTTTCACTCCCCTTCTTTGAAAGAGCGGTGATGATGCCAATGGCTTAACAAGACTTTAAATGTTGGTTTTGACCATGAAACCAGAACAAATCCGAACAAAGCGTTAATGATGGGCTCACGTGACCCCTGCTGTCACATGATTAATGACCTGTAGATAATGATTGAAGATGCTTTAAGCATCTGCTGAAACGTGAACCTCCAATTAAAAACAACTTTACAATTACTAGTACTAGCCGTCCAGTTATAAAGCTAAATAGACATGTTCAACAAATATTATCGTTACTTTTTGTTATATCTTATTTCCTAATATTTTTGCAGCAAATAAACAATTTTAAATTGAAACAAAGTTTGGTTCCAATAAAAGTTAGAATGTTTTAAATTCACATTTACTATGATAAATAATGTATCACCAGGCATTAAGACTAAATTACAGTCACATTATGCTCACTTTTCGCTGTTAAGTTGATCTGAACTATAAATATTTCAAAATATTGGCTATTATAATAGTGATTGAAAAATAGTGAATGATAATGAAAAATGTTTATGATATATTGCAAAAACTACCTAAATCATCAAAAGACTTCTTTTTAAGATTTAACAATTACCGAAACATTCTGAATGATGATATTTTAAGAACTTTCCATTGGCCACATAGATTATTGATTTTTTTCTTAGTAAAGTATAAAAATGAACACAATTGCAAAATGTCAAGTTATTTCTATTTTACCTGTTCATTGACCACAGACACTTATATAGGCTTAATATCACTTTAAGTTGTAAATCATTTGATATTGTTTTTAATTTTACATTTGCCAACCACTTTTTAATAATTATGTAATTCATATAGCATAGCTACTTTAGCCAAAACGTATATTTTTTTATTGGGAAAACTTCACCTTCAGCCTTTGCCTAGCTTGTAACGAACATGTTTAGCCATTTCCACAAGTATAGACCTAGGCCAGCCTGCTCACCTGTGCCGACTGACCAGGCTCTATTTTGTTGGCTTGCTATATTTAAGTTTTCATCTACATATCCCCATAATAGATAATTCCAAAAAGTAAGTGGACACACTAACTACTACAACTACTATTACTAAACTAACAAGGTTAAAAGTTAAATGTATATCAACATTTTTTCTCATGTTTTCTCTTAATTATATTATCATTTCAACACAACGAATTTGTAATAGTTTAGAAATACTTAAAGTGTCCATCCCTTCTCCAACAGTCCCGAGGCCATGTGTTGATCAAACATTGAATAATCAGTATGGTCTTTAACTAAAGAAAATGAAAGTGTCGAGTTATATACCATTAAAGCATACGTATAATTAATTCGTCAACAATGTTCTTAAAGTATATAATTTACTGACCTTTCAACGATGTTATTTTCTCAAGAGAATGATAGTCAAAATAAACACAATCTTTCTTTAATGAATGGACGATAGGGATTCACACATCTAAATAAACTTTGATTTAATATCAAATGTAATGATTTACATAAAATGAATCGAAACATATTTGTATCCCACATGTAACAAATTAGGTCTATTCATCATAATCCCCTTAGGTGTAACACAAAATTACAGACCCGAACCGTAACTCGGGGGTTGGGTCATGACAGGTGTTATAGAAATTACAGGGCTAACATTGATACTGAACAAGTAACAAATGGATCAGTTACAAACCCCTTTTCGACGACAATATTGAAGAAAAATAATGAATAGATATAAGTTAAATATCCATCATCTAGTTTTAAAGAAAACAAAATGCTCAAATAATTATTGTTAAGAGCCCGATATCAAATTCTTTATATTTTCTGAAACACGTTTTTCTTGGGGTTTTTTTTTCATCTTTCAAAAAAAAATTAAAGTAAAAACGTATTATTCGTATAATAGTCTATATCAACATCATGCAAAAATTTTTTAAAAAGAAATATCATATAAAAACGATATAAATATTTCATTAAAATGTAATAAAATAAACCTCAATAAACAAATTGATATTTCCAAGGATATAGAACATACCAGCCAATTCATGAAAAGATGAAAGTGTTTCTCTGTTTTATTATAAGATAACAAAATGACTACAATTCGAATCTATTTTTATTTAATCACAATTATAATTACAATGGGTTTTTTTTAGAAAAGAATACATATATTTTCTACATATGTGGTAAATAATTAATTATTATACCATGATTCAACTTACCACTGTATTTAAAATCCTTTTTGTATCACAATTTTGGAAATCCTCTGAGGAATGTCTAAAATTTCAAGACGTTAATGTTTTAATCACAAAACAAATGAGAAATATGCGGGTATATTTTGTTTCTAAAGTTACAGAATTAAACGTTCAGGGAGTAAAACCAATATAATTAAAATATCAAAATTTGTTTCTTAAACAAATATAACATTACCCGCATAATCCCCCATTGAAACTAATATTTTCCGTCGGCTCGTTTTTATCTTTTAGGGAGATACAATCTAAGACCGTATTGTCTTTACCGTATACTGGTTTTAAGAGCATCTTGGATTTCTTCATCGGAAACTATTTCACCATAAGGAGGCATCCTTAACCAATCGTTTGTAATTTGTTGGCGATATGTTAACACGGATCGTCGTAGCTTCGTGCTTACTCCTCCCACTTGATTAAAAGAGCATTTAGTATTGGATGTGGGCAGATGAAAAGATACAGTAGCTTTTGATCCATCTATTACTAGGACAGCCGAGAATTTTGAGCTCGTACCATTTATGGTACCAATATATGCTGTCATATTTTTTTACTGAATTTTTGAGTTTGTGCTTATTCATTTTATTATAGTTTTAAGAAAATGAAATATTTTTTACGAAAAAAATATCTAAATTTCTTACACAAATCTTTGTAACGTTTTTCTTTTCCATAAAGAAAATAATTTTGCAACTCGGCATTATATATTTATTTCGAATAATTTTCTAATGAAATACAAATAAACCGCAAGTATTATATCATTTCTGTTTAGGAAAAAAAAATTAAGTTAAAAAGTGAAAAAAGGAACGTGTAGTAACATTTTTTTAATCCTTTTTGCAGTAAAAATCAAAAAAAGCAAATTATAACAATTGTCAAAATAGAATAAGGATCAGATTGTAATGGCGATACTAGAGTTTCGATGAATTTAGATCTTATATCAAACAAACAACTTTGCAAATTTGTACCATTAATTGCATCGTTTGTCATTGTTGATTTTTCTTTCATTTTTAACAACAGAATCTGTCAAAGTCGCAGCCCAGTTTAAGCTTCATTTCTTCTCAAAATTTAATCTTTTAAATCTCTTTAATAGGGATAACACTATTCTTGTTCAAATTTAAATCAAATTACCATGAACATTCAATTGAAATACCTTGTTTCCGAGATGATTTGAGTGTTCTTCATAACACGAACATTCTTACGAAGAGCCGAATTCGTTATTGCGGCTAAAGGACCAGAAACACTTTGAGCTCATCCGGGCATATGTGAAGCGCCAATACGAGGCTAATTTCTATTTTGTCTTCACATGTTTGAGAGACTGTTGGTGTTAAACTAGGGATCACGGAAGTGCCCTTTGGAGAAATTTACGTTTTCAGATCAATAAATGAAGCTTGTTAAGTTGTTTTTCGACCATCTGCCAATTCCAGTGTGAGACAGCATGGGGCAAGTTTCCGGCGGCATTTCAACACATCAATGCATTTCGTAAATGGATAGAAAAAAACCACAACCAATATGCTTCTGTTATCAGTTTTAATGTGTTATTATACTGAATTTAACCGGCAATATAAATGTTTGCAATTGTATATCTATACATATATTTCAATATGTTATACTAAGATTGTGTAAACCATTTTTTTGTCATTAACATATTACAAACAGTTAGACAAATGTTACCCAGATTGAGTACAAGTGTACATGTATATAGATAATAATTGAATTTGCTGTTGAAAATAGAAATCAAAAATAAATCATACATTTAATTACTATTAGTATTGACAGAAAATCTTTAGATATATGATGAAAAGCATATTAAGAAAAAAGAAAATTTGACGTGAATCTCAAAGTATTTTTTCTGTCGGTTGGTACTGCAACAATTACAACTTTGTCGTGTGGTACGACCTTTAATATTTCTTCTATCAACTACATGTATTACAATCGCATTCATTTACATTATGTCATTGCCTATTAGATGGATGTGTTCATTTTCATGTATTACATACCACGGTTACAAAACAGATGCGGTCGACCTCCCGATTCGATTACCTTTGAATTATAAATGGCCGTTTTTATTGTAATATTAATTACTATGGGCGATGTAATGAAACCATAGGACATTGTCCGATACCAGAATGTTGCGCTTAAACATTGCCATCAATAAATGATCTATTCCGGGAGATGGCGCTAATCGAGGCTTTATTAGAGGCTTTTATGAAGATGTATAGCAAATTTGTGTCAGACTGTGGCCTCTAGAACTTAAAAAGAAAAAGACACGTCTTCACATGAAAAAAGATCATACTCTTTAACAATGGTTCACATCAAATGTTTAAGGATATATGGCTGAGAAAATCTGTTACTTCGTGAACTTGGTTACATTTGTCACGGCTCTTCTCGTTTATAGAACGGTTAATTATAGTGAATAAAGCTTCATTTT